CTGTCAACATACGTCAATCTATCAGAGTTGAAATTGACCCACCGCCTTGCTGCCAAAATCATTGCCTCTTTGCGCTTTTGTAAGGACTCTTGTCTCTTCTCCGCTGTAGCTTCCCAAACTGCAGGTCCAGTAGAATCCTCTGTGGCTTTTCCTTTTCCCTTAGCAGCATATGGTATCGGACCGGTACCACTCCACCCTTCCGGCTCGTTGGACGTCGGGGTATCGTTGGTGATTTTGGTTTGTAGATGGAAACGCTGAATCAATGTTGGTGCTTTGGCAGGAGTAGTCTTGCTTGCTGGATTCGTTGATGCTGAAACTGGGGCATTTTCTGAGTCAGTTTGTGGGAAGGCTCGTCGATAGGCTGGTGGTGGCTAACGGATGATAGCCATTCATTCAGCAGGCACGAACGGTCGATGGAGTGAGCAGACCATAAGTTTAGCAAGTTTACTACGTACTGCGTCAAGATATCCTCTTTCCATGGCCCGGTGGACAGTAGCTTCTACAGATCCGGTTCTTAGTAAATCATAGTGTATGTTTGCTCTATAGCCATTGATGAATGAGGGGAACCAGTAAGCCCGAGCCTAAAATTCCAATTTATGAGCCAACTTGCCTTGGAATATCGGGAAATACTGCGTGCGCAGAGTCGATCTATGTTGGAGAACATGAACCATCAGCATATGACGACAAAAACATACAAAGAAACAGAGCAGACCATCTCAGGGGTCACATTCTTTGGTTTAAATCCAAGTATTTTTGCCAGACCAGACGTGTTTGGAGATTCTGACGAGCCACCTATTGCCACGATGTACCAAGCAGAGAAAGCCGGAACAAGCGTCGAATGCGAGATTAGTCCAATGGAGAACCGAAAGGGTGAATCAGCAAAGGAGGACGTGAATTAGATCGAGTATTCAGTGCGGTAGTGAGATGATACAGGTTCAACACTGACCTGAGAACCATCTGACCACGAAATAAATAACGGCAACCGCAATTACGACGTTAACGATCTCAGAATCCATCTCTACAGCCAATTGTAACAGAGAAAATTATTCTTGTCACCACTGATACGGTCTCGATGAAGCAAGTGGAAAGTCAATCTTAGTCTGCTTTGTTTCCTAATTCCGGCTATGCGAGGATGTTCATTACTCAAATGATCGGAATATCAAGCACTATTTTCAGAGACATTCTGGAACAAGAGAAACGATTCTATTATTGTACAGATGAAAGACAGGAATTATAGCACGTAATTGGTTTATTGTGCCTGGATAAATGTGCTGTGGGACCTGGTCAGAGCAAATGGTGAGCACAGGTTGAAAAATTATCGAGTAAAGGATGAGTAAGGGTTGAACAAGTATTGAGCAGGCGTTGAACGGTTGGTAATTATTTGGGGAGCGGTTGATGAGCAAGTGGTGAGCAAGTGGTGAGCAAGTGGTGAGCAAGTGGTGAGAAAATGATGAGCATTTGGTGAGCATTTGGTGAGCATTTGGTGATTGGATCGAATTCGGGGAGATCAGGACAGGAACGATGTCAGTGGTACTACAAGATGCGGAATCCGTTTGGACGAGACATTAGCACAGGGAGGAACATCTAAAACCATTTCCGTTAGTATGATAACCTTTTGAAAATGATTTGTGCTTACGGAGGTGACCGTACGGCGTACTATCGTACTCATACGACCGGTGCATGCTTCCATGAGACAATGACTTCGACTATTGAACAACAGTGTGAAAGGAGCCTTTAATAATATATCAGAATATGGGATGAATTTACTATCGAGACACTTACGGAGGTGGTTACTCTAGGCCAATTTTATTATTGATGGGTAACCGGTGCGCATCCAATCAAAGGTGTTGTTCGATGACGTTTGCTTGGGAGCGATTCAGTGCTCGGAGAGCTGCCTTTTCCTTCATCTCCTTCATTAAATCATTATAATCTTCTTCTTCCGTTTTTGCTTGATCATCTTGGGCAGTCACTGATTGCGATAAAGGTGATGGGCCAATCCTCGTCCGAGAGCGTAAGAGAGGATCAGACGTTGTAGGAGCTGTAATAGGTGAAGATGCCCCAGAAGTCTTTTGTACGTCATTTGGTTCTTTCCTGAATATTCCCCCGTTTCGGGGCTTTGGGAGCGGCAGAATGTTCCTAGTAGTTGACGAATTCGTTGGAGCTGTGCTTCCGCTCGACCCTGAAGTCGATGCAACTGCATTAGATACGATAACAGGGCCTTCTGAGACGGCTGAAGTGTAAGGTGTATGTATGCCGACTTGAATAGGATTGCGCAACTGGTCCTTATTAGCTACGGATGATATTGTCCCAAGCGACTGTTGGCCGTGATTTAAGTTGGAAATGATTTTTACTTCATCTTCTGAGGATATCGTTGAGAATCCGGAGGATGGGTGCAGCGTAGGGTTGGTAATTTGCATTAGATTCGTATTCGTATTAGTTGGTTGAACCAAAGAATTGGAACCCATCGTAGAAGTAGCAACATCATCTACCGGGATGATATTATTCGGGTAAATTGGTATGGTATCTGGCTTTCGTGTGCTAATGCCAGAGTTGCTATCTGGACCTGCTTTAGGAGTTGGAAGTGCAAAGGCTGGCGCCAAAGGCAGAGATATTGGCACATTACAATTCGACCCTCCTTCTGAGTGCGTTGGTGGTGGGGGTGGCGTCGGATTCAGGGCGTGATCAAATGAAATCATCGTGGCGAGATCTAAAGACGGATATTAGTCAACAAATTTGAGAGTAAAGCTCGACCGCACGCACCATTTTCACCTTGATTATTCTGTGCCGTAATTTGTTCCAGAAAGTGCAAGAAGGATTCGGCATCATCTATCTCGGCTGGATCGCTCTCTGATTTGCTAGCTAGTAGGGCTTCCGCGAAAGCCTCGGGAGTTATGATATTTGGCCTAAATTCTTCTGACTGAATGTTGAGGGCTTCGGAGTGCGGTCCATGAGCCAGGTTCGTTGAAGTCATTTCGGGAATGGGAGCTGGAAGTACAGAGCTATCGACAGGTTTGGGGGTGGTTTTGCCAATTGGGTGTTGCAAAGCGATGTCAGCGAATAGATCCAATAAAGATGGCCCCGGTGGTGGGTTCCTTTGAAGCGGGGGTGAGACATCAGGGGGTGTGCTCAGAGGCGAGGGGAGCGGGTTTGTGATTGGTGTCGGTACGTCCGAAATAGCTGTTTCAGGAGGTATATTGCCCGACGGAGGATGGGATGATATTGAAAGCGACAGATTTAGAGTGAGCGGGGGGACGTATAGGTTTGAGGCTGGGGAATATGATGACACCGGAACGGACGCATCCAAAACGGGTGGTTCAGATGATACACCGATTTTGGGAGAAAGGGGTGACGGCAAAATTGAAGTGGAAGAGTCCAATGTGGATATTCCGAAAGGTATGTTTACCGGCACAGGAGACATAGGAGTAGATAGGTCCATGGATAACTCTTCATCAAGTACTGGAATAAATTCATCCTCATCACTCATTTCCATGTCTCCATTGCAGATCGCTTCTTGAACTGATAGGCTGATTATTTTGCAATGCCCATCTGACATCAGTACCTCAGGCTGAGGCGTTTCATTGCATATAGGGGGATATGAAACCGCGACGTATTGCGGAGGTACATCTTTCATGTACTCATGGGCCATTTCGGTATCCTTTTCATCATTGGTTGAACTGCCCGGGTACAGGTCGATGTCTATCACCGCTACAACCATGTTAAATATTTCCAAGCGATAGCATTCTCCACTTACTGTCATTAAGATGATACTTTGCGCTGTATGCGTCAACCATTTCATGGTCATGGATTTTTTGGCCCTCGGTGTCTTGGGCAGACCAGTCAAGTGAAATTTGTGGATGTGCAAGTTTAGAGACGGGCGGTTGCGTAACCGGGTTTTGAGCTGTGTATTTTCCCGACTTTGCAACGATAGCTGGCTCGTGGGTGAATAAGGATGAAGAAACTGGGTCAGAGAGTGCGAAGGGGGCATAACGTGAAGAATTGGAGCTCGGTGTTTGATCTAATTTTACAGGTTCCGGAGTTCTATTGGACGGTTGAATCGCGTCTTCGAGAAGAGGAGCTTTAGACACTTGTATCTCCTCGTGAGGCCCTCCCAATTGGATTGTATTATGATCGTATTTGGTAACATTGTCATCTTCAGGGAAGAGAATTTTATAATCTAGAGGACTAAACGTCGGCTGAGCAAATTTGAAAGGTCATAAGCTCCCAGTTCACCATATTCACTTCACAGAACTCACCGGTTGGGATTGAACAGGTATGTTTTGCTCTAAAAAGGCAGTCATGTCTGCGAGGTCGTCCAAATAGGCCGATCTGGTTGCCTTGGGCTGGAATGGTGTCGGAGCAAGTGGATCCACCTCCTCTAATTTTTCAGTAGGAGGAAGTTGCTTCGGAGGGACATTTCCCTTGATAAATTGCTTATATCCACGCTCTGAAGGTGCCTTTCCTGCTTTGCGGGATTTTCCTTTGGGGGAGACCGTCTTGGAGAAACCCGTCTTAGATAGGATAGGAGGCAGTTTGGGTGTAGTAAGACTTGTCTTGAGAATGGGCGTCGATACGGAGGTGATATTTTCTAGCAAATTAGGGTGGTGCGGAGAAGTTGTTACAACCTTGTCCCCATCATCAATAGGGGCTGGTGCCTTAATGGGAGTTATGGCTGGTCTGACAGGAGATGGGAGAGGTGAAGCGCGATGGAAATTGCTCTTATTTGAGGAATATTCCCGTTTAATTGGAGAAGTCTTCGATTCTGTTTGATGATGGGGGGTTAGCGAGCGCCGCCACGATAGACGCGAAAACGCACCTTTGCCAAGGAGTCTATGTGAGATGGAGGCGCTGGTTTTGTTCGAGTAAATGGTTTTTATTTCGCTTATTCTTGTTTTGGATGTGTTTGGTCGCGGAAATGGGCCGCTTGGTTTTGGTCGGAAGGTTGGGCTGGGCTCGACGTCGCGGTAATGAGGCTCCCTCAACAGCGGGAAAAGCACGATAACGCCATTGGATAAGATCCAAAAGGACATATCGGCCCATTTTTGTATGTGCCTTCGCCATGTAAATAGAGCTAGAGCGACAACAACTGACAAGCCGAAGTTGCTATCCCGAGTCAGAGCGAGAGTACTGGGCTCGTAATCCTTCAGAGATGGGTATATGAACAAGGATAGAAGGTTGAAGATGGTTAATGAGACGATTTGAGTGATAGATTTGAGGATGGAACGGGTCCAGCCACAAAAAAGGTGGAGCAGAATAACGATGATAGAGTCCTCGAAAGCATCTTCGAAGAAATGAGGGGCATATATTTCAGCCCAAAGTGCAAAAATAGTAAGCCAAACGACTCGGGTTGTGGAACTTGTCTGCCTCAAGTGGACGAGATGTGGGCTGGGAGTGAATATTTTACCAATGGAGAGCTGTATAGGTCGAGACATGGCAGAATAGGGCTGTATAGAGTTGTCTTGTGGAAGGGAAAAGGGGGGCAAGGATGCGGGGTAGGATAAAGGGCGACCAGCCATGGCTGAAGTGGCTGGAAAGACTATCCACGACGCCGCCCAATTAGATCCGTGGGAACTTTGCAAACTCCGACAAAGCAAGCTCGCCAGACTGGACTGGGGATATAAGAGTCCTTTCACCTAGCATCTGAATTTAGTAAATATGTAGTATATCTATTTCGAGTTTTGAAAGGCTCACCAACCAATTTATGATCATGTTTACCCTGAAAAGTGAAGGGGACTGCGCTTGAGAGGTGCTCCTCATGGATAGGCTCATTGATAACTATCACGCATGGAACCAGATAGTTTAACGAGTATAGACCTATGAGTTTGGGGGCCTTTTATCCGCCGCTGCTTGCATGATCACTTGGGCTCAATAGCTAGCAACCCGGTTGAGACATGGCAAGCAAGTTTGGTTGCAAGTGAAAGAGATTGGCATTACTCTACGAACCCAGAGTTATTTGTAGTGGTGTATATGCTCCGCTAGGAGGGTGACTAGTCCAGTAATATTCGCAAGGTTGAAGAGCCAGAAAACGCTTTGGCAAATCTCGCGAGGTGACTGATTCTTTCTCGGCATTACTGAGTATCATATGAACAAGTCTTGGATTTGAAAACGTAGTTGGGACTTTAGTCCTAGAGGTCGTCAGGTTCAGGTATACTCCCCTTCGTCATTGAATATCGTACATTTATTTCCTGATAAGTTATATCGGACAATTTTTCTTTAATACTTCCAATTTCAGCGCAAAATATGCTATCCAATACTCTGGAACTACAATTGCCACCGCTTTGCCCAGAACGCACGGCAGTTCAGCTGTCATCATTACGCAGAGGGATCATTCAACCCCAGGTGCCTCGGTGTCGCATTGCAAATTTTCTGAATGTCGAGTGAATCCATATACTCTTCTCTACATTCTCTATGGCCGGTCTAGCTATCCTCATTAATACCGGTAATTGGCGTCGAGCATAACAGTGATCAGAAGAGCGACGCGAACTTGAGCTGACGGCACATTTACTTAATACAGTAACCACATTATAAGGAGGTCGAGAGTGTCAGAGCCTGCAAGTGCTCTGAAAACCCCACAATCATGCCGCTTTTGACTCTCGACAAAGACCTTCGCTTTTTCTACAACATCTTCTCGCCCAAAGGCAGCGTCCTCGATACATCGAAACCAACAGTTTTGCTTTTGCACCCTGTCTTCTTTGATCAGACGTTCTTCGCTCCTCAGTATACGGACGACGAGATGGCGGAGAAGTTCAACCTGGTACGCCGGAGCTTTAGACCCAACCTCGGCATTGTGCTAACACCTTAGATAGATCCTCCTCGACCACCACTATCATGGTGGTACTCAGACTACACTAGACGATGAAAAATACGATTTTGATCTGGTGAGTGAACGCTTCAACTTGCCAAAGACTGGGGTTTCATTTTACGTCCTGTCTCATGTGGCGCACGGGGTTGACTGGCCGACAGGTTACCCGAGATATGTTTCGTTTTCTCGATGCATTAGGAATCGACAAGTGCCACGTCTTGGGTGTGGCGTTGGGGGCCACGATCGCCGTCCGGATGGCCATGCTGCATCTCGATAGAATACTCAGCCTCACGTTGTGTTCAATGGGTCCACCCGAACCGGTCAGTGTACCCTCTTCTCATTGATTGAGAAATGCGCCGTCAAGCGTTTTTGACTGATACACTCACCAATAGACTGCCGAGTATCTCGGCCAGCACAAGGACATGCTAGATACTGTCTTGGACAGCGGGGATGATCTAGAAGAGACCCTACCACAAGTAATATCGGCTGGGTTTAAGGCATTGTATGGCCAGAAGGGCTGGACTGGTGGGTTTCGAAGCGTTCACCTGACTCGCGTAGACTGAAAATGATCCTCGTTTCGCTTCTCTCGAAACAGAGGAACGCCATGAGGCATTCATGGCCACCAACCAGATTCAACCCAAGAATCGTCGGCTCCTTACCAAGGCTTACTCCGCGGTGTTCGATGAAACCGCACCACCGGCATCAAACTGGCCCCGAATCAAGATTCCAGTGCTTATAGCACATGGAGGTGCGTGATGTGGCCCCGACGATCAAGCTTGCACTCATCCATCTAATCATGTGTCTGATTGAAACTTTATGAGAACAGAGTGCGATAATCCGTATCCGCCTTCTATTGCGCAGGACAATTACAATTTGTTATCAGAAGCAACAATGAGGGAGCTGCATATCATCCGTTTTGGACCACATTACTTCACCGCGACGGTACCCGCCCTCTTCAATCCTATTTTCCTAGAATTTATCAAGAAAGCAACAATCGTCTAATATTTAGGAGGAATTATAACCTCGGGTCTCTTTTCATCGTTTGTGCCGGCAGCAATGTCAACAAACACGCTCAGGTTCTCCCCCAGCCGTGACTCCACGTCTCTGGATTGGCATTCCACTGTCAGAGATATGTCATTTATCGTTTCTGGTTTTATTTTGCTCAGGTTATCGGTGATTTATTTACGGAATTGGCACAAGGCCCTTCCGGACCAGCTATATCTAACTTTTGTATCATCACCCAGCCTGCTACCATTGTATGGGCGGTAATTGGATAAACTCGACATGGCATCGAGCTAGTTGTTTGACTTGTGGTCTTAATATAAACGTTGAGAACTTCGTAATATGACAGGGCAATGAAGATGAGTCGGTAACGACCATTGCCTAACACCAAACAGGTTAATAAGAGGGGCACTCTCTGCTTACAGTGTTGAGCCTTAATCAAGCTTGCATAGGCTACTGAGAGTTGGTCGAAAGCTTTGGGGGAACTACGACGGAGTGTCCCTCTTGCTCGAATGTTCAGCAAGGAGTACTAGATTAATATAATAGGTACCCATATCATTTTTTGACAAAATAGTATCCACTCTAACATGAGGCTTCAAGTTGGTAGGAGCATAGGCTGTGGCCACTCAATTGAATTGAAAGACGTACATGATCTCATACACTGACCCTACCGTGAAGTTGCATCTTGACTCCTACCTGATCACCAAGTGACCATGGATCAGTTAACAGTAAGTAACATGCCCAGGCTAGGCAGTATGCTGAGGGCTTGATCCAATGTAGCCAATACGAAGTCTTCCAGTAGCCACGCCAGGGCCGACCAGCAAGGCAACTGAGCACGGATGGCGAGAGGACGGATCCTTTGACTTTACTCAGTTCTTTGCAAATTTCGATCTCAACTCAGATGTTGCGCAATACCTCAGCGAGTTTGACCCAACCAAATTTCTTTCTCTCCTGCGACTGTCTGCTTCTCCACCACCCAGGCCACCGAGGGCTACTCCAAGTCGGTTTCGATTCGGAAAGATAGAGCCATCTCATGCTGCTATGATAGACTATCAAGCTAAAGTAGATGCCCGAAATGACGCCAGGGGGCAACTTGACAAAGAGCTAGCAGCACTGGATCACGTCGTGTCCAAAATGGATGGAGTGAAGGTCCCAGGTATCGAAAATCTTAAGAAGGATTTCGAGGCTGCCAAGAAATTCATTTTTGACGCAGTTGCCAATTCCAACTTTCAAGCTCTAGACGTTCATTTGGAGTTTGAGGAACCTCTCCGGACTCCAGATGTACCTACCCCAGATGCACCAAGACTTGGTCCTATTTCCTTACCACCAATGACACCGCTTGGTACACCTGGTCCTGTCACACCCAGTGGAGTAGAGACTCGATGGCCTTCTATGCTCACAGACGAGAACGGCTTGATGTACCGTATTGTCGCTACGCCCCGAGACTTAGCGTACGATGCCATTGGCTACTTCCAGTCAATCGTTATACCCCCAACTCCTAATGCCAATGCTTCGATGGATCCCGCCAAGGAGCAAAAGCCAAGTCCAGTGGACCGACCCGCTGTACCGGTGTTCGGACGTCGACCTACTTCCAGCTGGTTTAGGAGTCTGAGTGGGTTTGGAAATACGCGGCCTCACCAGTGAGTGGTATATGTCTGACTGCTGGCCTCTAGCTAACATGTTTGCAGGGCTGTTGAGCCTTGACCTGTTCAACCGAATAACCTGCATTTTCCAGAGTCTAGTGGACGTTTCATTGATCATATAGTAACCCCCATGTATAATTATCTAAATTTTGTATTTTAATCTACGGATTTCCAAATTTGTATCTTCGCCACTAAAGCGACCGAATGTGGACTGGGCGCTCTATCTCCTAGAGCCGACCGTGTTGATACCAACTCAGCTTCGGGATAAACAAGACACCAATCATCAATATCACATCACCTATATTTGTGTTCATCTTCCTGGGACATAGTGGCACAACATGTAAGTGTTGAACACAGGGCGAACGCGCATTTCCGCGCCCGCTAATCATTCCTCCCATGCTCAGCTTTAGGTATCCTTGAACGTGCATAATTCGAAATGCCTCGGTACTCCCAAAGTGCCGATGCTGCTCGGGTTGCTGCAGAGCAAGCCGAGTTCAATGAGAAGAAATGGGTATGGGTTCCAGACGAGGAGAGTGGCTATCTTGCTGGCTGGGTCATAGAAGAAGACGATGACACTGCGGAAGTCATAATGGCCGCTGGAGGCGAAGTAAGCACTTGCCCTGAGACACGGTGGAACTGCTCACCTAACGTGACCACACGATGCTAGACACGAAGAATATCTCTTAATGCCTTGTCGAAAATGAATCCTCCCAAGTTCGATCGCGTAGACGACATTGCCGATCTTACTTTCCTCAACGAAGCGAGTGTCGTCCATAACTTACGCCTGCGGTATCTCTCTGGCGCCATTTACGTAGGTGTTGCCCAAATTTTGAGATTTAATTATCTTTAATAATTTGAATCGCAATTTAAAAGACTTATTCTGGCTTGTTTCTGGTTGCCATCAATCCGT